TTGTATTTGGTGTGTGCATTGGAGTGTTATGACGTGTACAATAGACCACATGATGCAAAGTTTCATTGCCAAAAATTTGCACACGACATACCATAAAAATGCACACACCAGTGTAAAAACAAAACTAAAAAAATGACATGATGCTAAGTTCATTTTCTAAAAATTTGCAAACGTCAAATCATACAAATGCACACACCACCGTAAAAAAAGAAAAAATAAAATAAAAAATAAAAAATAAAAAAAAAAACCTATTAATTTTTACAATATATTCCTTGTAAAACAAGTCAACCACAAGAAATCACGCACAAGAAAAGGCCCGTGCATATAGTGGTTGCATATTATAAGGATTATGGTTGTGATTTTTTTTTCCACAATCTTTCGGAGGCGAAATACACTCATTGTTGTCTATGCATCCTCCCATCAACCTATCGATTTCACAAACAGACCTGTATGCAACCACCTGAACACACACATGCTACGCACATAACAGATATTCTAGTTCGTCCACCAACCCCCACCCCCTCCCACCATCCCAGCAGAAAAAACCCCAATATTCAGCGTATGCACAGACGATGGCACGTAAATGCACTTACCCGTTTGTTTTCTCCCCAAGCCTTGTTCACGCCAAGTTCACCTCATCAGCCTTTGTAGTAATTCAAAGTATTAATTTCCATCCATAAACTCCCTAATTTAATGCTACAGATTCCAATAAAATTATGTCCATAAATAAATTAGAATTACAATTACTAATATATCCTTTACATTGGAAAATGTCCTTAATTACTACCCTAATCTCTTATAATCTCAACCATTGATGGAAATTGAATCAATGAATATTAAGAGGCCTCATGGTCTCATCCATTAAAGGGGGTGCACCGGATTCGAAGCCTATATATATATATATATATATATATATATATATATATATATATATATATATATATATATATATATATATATATATATATATATATATATATATATATATATATATATATATATATATATATATATATATATATATATATATTTATATATATTTATATTTATATTTATATATATATATAATCAAAAGCATAATATTATATAATATTTAAAAATTATAAATTATTATACATCATATAAATATGTAAAAAAATTTGACCGGGTGAATTATTAGTATATTTTAATATGAAAATTGTTAGGAAATTATTTTTCTTCTAGATTATGAAAATAATTATTTTTATTTTATATTAATTATTTAATATTTAAAATTTGTACTAAATTTATTTATTTATTTTAATTTTCGTGTTAGGCATTAATTTTTTTTTTAAATCAATCTGGCGATTGTATTAATGAATCAAAGCCGTAATAGCGTCAGGAGGGATAGAATCCCAGTACATAGCCTGATCCGGAGTAAAAGCTAAGGAAGTTAAAGTATGCGCATGTAAATTAACCTATCTAGAGACATAATTTAACGAAATACGACTAAATAAAGACATAAGTGTTCTGCATTGGTCAATTGTGACCCCAACATACAAATGAATTGGTGTGTCATGGTGCCGCATAGTTGTACTCAATACCATGCAATCCGTGAGTAGACATACTGATGTGTCTTTCCTTTCTAGTAGCCAGGACAATGCCTCCGCCATAAAAGGTGAGAAACAAACAAGTAATTTGCTATTTTTTGCTGCCACGAAAGAGCCCTCTGATGCAATAAGTACAATACCGTACGTGGCCTCTCCCGTGTCCTGACGAAAATCCGCGTCCACATAGCATCTTAGACTGTTGCCGTCCGTGTCCGTTCCGGTGGGTGGCGCCGGAGCCGACTGCGTCTGGCGGTGTTGGGCAGCGCCGTAGGCCTGCAAAGATGCGGCAGCCACTCTGCCGACATCGGCAGGTCGCATCATAGACCCCTTCCACACGGCTGAGTTGCGGCTCCTCCAAATATGGTACAACATGGCTACCAATAACCGGGTTTGCTCATCAGTATTTGCAACAGACCACAACCATCTACAGCCTCCCCAAAACCACGAAGTAGGCTATTAGGGTACGGGTTTCCTCCTCTCTTCTCATGCTGATAAAGGAGATTATTAAAATCCCCTATCACTACCCAGGGTAACAAGGACCTATCCTTCAGAGTGCCAAGTAAATTCCAAGACTCTTCTCGCCTATTCCGCTCCGGGATGCCATAGAAACATGTCATACGCCAAATCTTATTGGACAAATTGACCCCCACATCTATATGATTCTGCGAGTAACTTAACAACCTGACCGTGTTATTCTTTTTTCAGAAAAGAGCCATTCCACCACTCAAACCATCATTATCAACATAAAACAAACCGTAATACCCAAGCCTGACACGAATCCGTTCTGCATGTATCCGTCCAACCTTGGCCTCCATAAAAAAAAAAAAAAAAAAAAAAAAAAAAAAACACAAACTCAGGCTTCTTACGGGACGCTAGGTCCACAATCTGTCGAACTGTGCGTGGATTGCCCAAGCCACCACTGTTCCAGCTCAAAGTACTCATGATGATGGGCGGGGCTGGGCACCAGCTCCTGCCATGGACAAGTTTTTTGAACCATCTTGCATAGGCACATCACCACCACTCCCCACCACCTCCTCTCCGTTAGTATGTACCTGTCGCCGGCGCTTTGCCGAAGAGACCAAACATTCCTCCTCCGACCCTCCAAACCGCACCCCACTGCCACCTTCCGGTGCCGCTGCTGCCGTGGCAGTTACCACCTCCCTAGACACCACCGGTCGCGGCCTCCCTCCTACCGGTATGAGCCAGTTATCCCCAACCGCTCTAGGAGCGCTCTGGGATCCACCAGCACGCATATCCGGACCATACGGGTACCGTTCCAGTGGAACTCCTGCATCCCTAGCATGAATACAAAAAGTGTGCAAGTGCCCCATGCACCCGTAAAAATAGCAAAACTTATGCAACCGTTCATACCGGAAAGTGACCCATGCAGTAGTCTTATCTCTCTTCATCAACTTCATTCCCCTATGGAGTGGCTGATCAACCGGTATTGATACCCGAATGCGATGGAAAGTTAGCCATGGGGCCGCCTCAAAGCGGTCATCATGTTTAATAAAGGTACCGAGAAAGTTTTCCGCCTGCTCCAAAATAGCCTGAGACGTATACCCCGGGGCATATCATGTAGCTGTATCCACATATCAATCATATTCAATTGTACATCCCCCGGCAACATTCCTTCCCGAACCTCCCGACACACCAATGCGTTATTCTCAAACGCCCAAGGACTACCATTCAAAACATAATCCATATATGTTTTATGGAAGAAAACAAATACGAATAATCCCTTCTGAATCTCCATTACCTGGACCCCTCTGACCGGCTGCCATACGGATACAAAAACCTGTCGCATGAAGTCAAGTTTTATCATCTTTCGCATGAGGAAATGACCAACCACCTTCCACATCTCCTCCTCCTCAACCACACTGCAGTCAGCCTCCCCCTCAACCGTCGGCATAAAGGCAGTCGCGTCTTCCTCAAAAGCCCAGTTCGCCGAGCCGTTCGTTATCGCCGCGACATCCGCCGCTATCGCCGCCGTGGGAGACTCCATGGGCTCGTTTGTTTGTCACTGCATGTCTCCAGCTTCCTCGTCGTTCCGTCGTCGCACAACACCGGCCATCGAACCGGACAGAACCAGCGTCGATCAGCGAAAACCTAGGAAACCCTAGTATGAAGGTAAAAACCCTAGAGAGGTTCTAGAGAGAGATAGTCATATCTATTAGGCATTAATTTAGTCGTGCATTATAACTAGTATTTTAATAGAGCTTAATAGTTTGATTGATACAAAGGTTAAAACTATAATTTTTTTTTTTTTGAAGAGTTAGGTATGTATATTACAAAAATAAGAATTTGAAAATCAAAATGACCAGTAAAGAACAATTGAATAACTAAAAATGTATTTTTCTCAAAAATAAATTAATAGTTAAGAAGAAAAGGTGAAAATGTATATGCTATCAATGGATTAAAAATCGAAATAATTATTTTGAATATTTCATATTTAAAATAATAAAAATAAAAGCAAAAAAAAAAATTAATAATAAAATTATTGATAACATTTTTGCTAAATTTTTGTGGAGGTGGTGAGTGGCCGGAATGTTTGGAAGACAAAAAAAAAAAAAGAAAATGAACTTTGAGAATTGGGATGTGGTAGCAGTGGCTGAGAGCTGACAAGAACCCATACATTAAGTTCTGGGTTTCAATTTCCAACCTTCCTTTATGGGCACTTTTCTTCTGCTCCTCTCTGAACAAACTCTGTGGATATGGGTTTTAGGCTGCACCTGAGATGGGGTCTCTCAACTCACCCTCAAATTTTCTCTTTCAGATCATCATCTTCTTGGCCTTCTTCAACTTCATGTGAGTTACATCACCTCTGTCTTACTACAATTTACCAGAAACTTGTTGTATTCAATCTTGCATATCTACTGTTTGATTCTATTCCTTGTCAAAGCTGTGTTGAGTGCACAATTATAAGTACCCAAAGTGAAAATTTTTGTTGGGTGGAGGGTTTCTTGCTTGTTTTGATAAATTCAGTGGTGAGGCAAAGCTCTTTATATGATTGTGTATTAGATAATCAAGGATGGTGATAAAATTTGCTGCTAAGAGGCAAGAATGGCACTTGGCCAGTCTATAGTTGGCTTTAATTGGTTGCCAGTTATGTTTTAAGGCTTCATCAGCCATCAGCTCTGTCTATGGTGTTAAACTGATTTTTTTAGGAATTCAGTAAGATCAAAGATTATGCGCACAACAACCAACTTGGTTGGCATGAGTGACCGTGTACTCTCATCCCTTAAGAGAGGTCGGGAGTTTGAACCCCCTCTTGTATGGAAAAACCAATATGGCCAGCACTTTGCCCCTTAATTGGGCCGGCCCGGTGCAAATGGGGATTAGTCTAAGTATGGTACGGGCTTAAAGGTGCCTCCAACAGTTAGGGCCTGGTCAGGATGCCTCATGGCCTCACCAAAACGGGTAGGTAGGGACTGTGGAGGATGATATAAGCACCCCTATCAAAGTGTGATATGTACATTGAAGGAAATGCCCCATTTATAAACTGCTTCCCGTGGAGTTTACTGATAGAAAGTGGGTATAAAGGTCAAGTCATGGGGAGAGTGTTCATAAAGCTGCTAAGCATGGTACCCTCTAGTCCAAAGAAATGGAGTTCATAAATCCTCGTTCTTATGCCAAATGTTAAATTAGCACTTATAGATTGATGGTGATGTTGGTTTAACAAGCGGCTATTATCATACCCACTACGGCATTCTTTTGTGTAATCTTCAATCTATAGTGTGGATAGAACTTAGAAGAGAAACTTACACTATCACCTTCACTTCTAGGTCCAGTTTGTGTAAATAAGTTAAGAAAGATAATGATACTTCTTGAACTTATCTTCCATTTCTTCTGCTATAGCTCATGGAAGAGTTCAATTGGGTGGCAATTTTTCTTCTATGTAACCCCGTATTGAGCAAAGCACCAATTATAGTAATTACACAGGTCAGCTACTAGAGTAAGTCGAAACTGTTATTGTTGCAATGTCTGGAAATGTAAAAAGGTGCTTTAATCTGTGAATAAATATGACCAATACTTAGGTATAACCCCTTGCATAAGTACTTAGATCACAGTTGTCATTAACTCATAAAGTTAAATAATTGAACAGATCTATCATTCCCTGTTTTCTCCCTTGGATCCAATCTCAGAATGTAGTTGGTTGTCCGTAAACGGCTTATCCCATACTTCAATTAAAAAATAGCTCAGCTTATTATTGTATCACTCCGTAAATCACACATTAGAAATACCTGTATCTGGGAAACCGAGTGTGTCTGTGTATGTGTCTGTTTCTGATGACTATATATTTCTGATTGGATTGAACTGAAAATATCATTATGCTCATAGAATCTCTATTTGCCCATAGTTGGTTTTAACTTTTAAACCAGCATGTATAGTGTTGGGCGTCGGTTGGGTTGGCCGAGTTCAGCCCATGCTCGATTCGAGATGTGGTGTTGTGGCTTACCATGGAGGGATGTGGTTAAATGGTTAATGTCCACCTACTTATCACTAATTGGTTTTAAGTAGGATATGACAACCAGATAGCAAGAGACCTCTGTGTTAAGCGTGCTTTCACAGGATGGGTGACCCACTGGGAAGTATAGTTGGTTTACACTGTACATGTTGTTTGGTGTTCCCAAGTTGATTTTAGCCTGCTAATTATTCTTTTCTAATAATGACCATTGCCTTCATATTAAACAGTAAAGGGAAGGGAGATTTTATATGACTCGGTTGGAACTTCTCCGTCTTTTATGCACTGGGAGAATGAAGCTTCACATACTGATCCTTTCAGAGTGAGGACTTGTTTATCTGACCGACAGCTCCGGGAAAATGAAATCTCAGTAACTGCAGAAGTAAAGATTCTCTTCCCATCTTAAATGTATAGTAATATCTGAAATTTTATACTTTCTCCTTTTAGTCTCCCAGTTTTGCAAATTGAAGCTTCCTCTCTATTTTTGGTCAGATGGAAATTGGCGTAGGATCTCACAGTAGCTTATACGATGTGATCGGAAACAACAGGGAGGTGTTAACCGAGGAGGACAAATTAAAATTCCTTAAATCAAGCAAAGGAAAACAGTTTAGTTTACTTATGAAAAATCTTGATCTTTTGGAAAACATTTTTGCCGATTCATGTGTGGTTGGACTTGAAAGAGATATTCTGGCACAACTTGAGAGGCTCGGAGCTCTGGAATTATTCAATACTTTTCTCTCGAGGGGTCAAAAATCTTTTCCCTTTTCTGATTTGACAAACAGGCCAACTGAGCTTGTTCACGAAACTCAGGAGAACGACCTCCTGAATATTCACATGAATAAGATCGTTGTTACCTCGGGGAAAAAGCAGGAAAGAGAGTTGAGAAGAAGGAAACGGTCCGATACTAATAGTGATGTTTTTACACTACATCTGCAGCCAAAAACATCCAAATTGGAGTCAAAATACCCAAATATTTCTTCTGGAAAAACATGGCGAAATTTTAGAAATACTAGAGAGAAAATTGCTAGCAGTGAAGCAGAAATGTCAAAGGGTGTTAAGGTTGTTTCCAGTTTTTATCAAGTAAAAAAGTAAATTCTGCTTATCAGGATCGGAAGCTATCTGACAAACACATTCTGTAACAAACACAGGTGGTTGCAGAACTCGAAAGTATCAGGACAATTCTGGAAGAAGAAACCGGCAGAGTAGCTAGTTTTAGTAGCTGGGCAGAAGCTGCTGGACTGAGCCAAAAGGTATTGCAGCAGCGTTTGCATTATGGCTGGTATTGCAGAGATGAACTTCTTAGAAGTACAAAGTCGTTAATCGTATATCTTGCTAGAAACTACAGAGGACTCGGAGTCTCATTTGAAGATCTAGTTCAGGTCAGTTGACCCTGCATTAAACACATACTAAAGTCCTTGGTTTGCATTCACAACACATGAGTACATATACTATTTTTCAATTATGATAAGGAATGGGCATTAGGGTTTAATATATGGGGATCCTAAATTGAATTATGGTGAATCTTGGACTGCTGCTATAGGCCAAATTATGTGAGATTTGAACTAAGAACTAAATTGGATTATGGTGAATCTTGGACTAGGAAGCTACTAAGTATTTTAACATTCTTTCCCTTAAAGAAACGAGCGTTTGGTTGGAAGGAGGGAATTAGGGGGAAAGGAATTGTAATTTCGTGGGAAAAGAATAAGGTGGGAATTCAAATTACATTGTTTGGTAGGAAGGAATAGAATGACGGGGTATTGAAAGGGAAGAAGTGAATAAAGACTAAAATGTCCTTGTATAATAATAATAATATAATAATAAAGAGGGAAAAATAGTAATCATTGATGAATTACAATTCCACGGAGTTTGGTAGGAATGAAATACAGTTCCATCCTACCAAATTAAACTCTTTTTGCCTTAGGAAGCTGGAGACATTTTTTTCGCTTTAGGAAGTTGGACTGAGTAGCCCAAGCTCCTTCTCCCATACTGCCCGTTTTCCTTTATGCTCTCAGCTTCAGTTGAAGTGCTTGGGATCATTCCACTAAGTTGATCATCTGAGATTTCCGCCTTTTTCTCCCGTGTCTTGAAGAGTTTGAGATGTTCACTTCCACTTAAACCAGTGCTAATGCCATGCTGTAGTGCCTGTTATTACACATATAACCTCTAATAAGTTAAACAATTCTAAACAAGAGTATTACGAGAAGAAATTAGCACTGGCGTGCAATATCAACATCCAAATTGATGCAATGTGCATATGGATTGAATATGGGGGGTTGTAACTTTGTAATTTCTATGTTGGAATTCGGAAAACCACTTCAAGTTTCACAATCCAAACGGTTTGACTTGTAAGAGAGATGCATCATGCATGCCTTGTCATTGCTCAATCCCATTCAAATCTTCCCGAAAATGGCTTGGGCATGCTTGCCTTATGACTCCTGTTTCCAACTTCCATGGCTAGGACCGACCACCCGTTTCACTTACCATCTCCTTGTAATTGTAAAACAGACTAAGGGTGTGTTTGGAAACCAAGAAAATGACTTCTGGAAAATGAGTTATTTTCCAAAAAACATTTTCATTTCTAGTGTTTGGTTGCATTCTAGAAAACTGTCTTGGTCTGTTTGGTTCATTTTATGGAAAATGAGCATAAAAGAAACGGGTCAAATACCTTAAACTTTATCCGGTCAACTCCGAAGACAAGACCGTCGTCGGTCGCCTTCTACCAGGGATGTGACGCGACCGGTAAGGCGACCAACTGTTCACCTTCCCTGATGGAAGGTGACCAGTTGGTCGCTGAGGAGATAGGTCAGGGAAGATGGCTGATATAGAATGTCCGGAAGGCAAAGAGAAGTGGCCTGGAAAATGACTTCCCCTCAAAAAACACAGGGGAAGTTGTTTTCTAGAAAAACAAGGTGATTTTCCCCTTTGACCGGAATTGATTTTCCATGACTTCAATTTTCCAAAAATCATTTTCCGGGTTTTCAAACACACCCTGGTCTGCCACTATGTTTTGTGGTCAACATGCAGACTTTAACCACAAGGAATCAAATCCCACATAAATAATCACTGAAAACAGGCTATTGACAGAAATCATCGGATGATCTTTTCCATTTTCAATTATGTCTTTCATGTATGAACTTCATCTGCTCATTTCATATTGACCATATGCATGCAGGTTGGCAGTTTCGGTGTCCTACAAGGTGCAGTGAGATTTGACCACACCAGGGGGTACCAATTCTCAACATATGTCCAGTATTGGATTAAGAAATCAATGTCCATGTTGGTAGCACTCCATGCTAGAGGGATTCGCGTTCCTGTATGTGGCTTTATTACTCCACATCATAATTTCTCGTTTTCTATTTCTTCACTTTACATGCACATTAAAAAGCTGAATTTCTCTGAACTATGTTGTTTTTTTTGTTGCAGTTCACAATAATTAAAGTCATCAAAAAAATTCAAAAAGCTAAAAAGGCTCTGAGTAGCCGCCATGGTAAGTTTCCGAGTGAGAGTGAAATTGCCAAGTTCACCGGTCTATCTACCAACAGAATTGTGTTAGCTAGCAAATGTCTGAGAGTTGTGGGGTCGATCGATCAGAAACTGGGAGATTTTATGAGTGCCAAATTTGTGGTATGGCTTGAAATTCCACGTCAACTTCACTCATTTGTTAACCTTTGAGTTTTTGTCGGAGGGTTAAGGAAAAGTTGATTGGAAAATCTCTTCTTTGCAGGAGTGTACACCGGACAAATCTGTGATCAGTCCAGAAGAAGCTGTTATAAGGCAGCACAAGATTAACAACGTTTATTCTCTTCTAAAAGGCCTGGAGCCCAAAGAGAGGGATATATTAGTCCTTAGATTTGGTCTCGTAAACAACCAGCGCAAGTCACTAGAGGAGATCGGAAGGCTTCACGGTGTAAGCAAAGAATGGATCAGAAGAGTCGAGAGCCGAGCCCTCACGAAACTAAGAAACAAAAGCTCTCTTCAAGATTTAAGGTATTTTTTACATTCGTAGTTGACAACCATCCATACACCCGTTAAGTATGATATTCACGTATGTATATCGCAATTTGGATTTTCCACCATGTAAGTATTACATAGCATTGAAGTCATTGTGACATTTACACCTGAAAAAAATATAGAGACCATTTCTTCTGCTGTCAATGATCATTTCTTTCGGTACAAACAAGCGTGTTTCATGACTGTTAATCGGTGATTTTTTATCATAAAGTTTTGCAAGTATGTTGACATATAGTTTATAGATTTGGTGCACAAGAAGCCTGAAGTGTTTGGTTGGTGAGGAGTGAGGACTGAGAACTTACCTACCAGAAAGGCTCACCTACCCACACTGGTTTAAAGTTGAGAAAACATGGTTTTTCAGACTTTCAGGGATCCAAGCTTTTTGGTGCATTCAAAATATTCAATCCTTTTCTGTGCCTTTTTGGGTAAAGAGATGGATCTCTTGTAGGCCAACTGTACCAATTTAATGCATTTGTGTTGCTCCAATTAGAGTACATGGCATTGATTGTGATGCCCACCCAGTTTTTGCCTCCCTTTTCTGCCCCAAAGCCAGGATTTTTTTTTTTTTTTTTTTTTTTTTAGGGGAAAGCAACAGTTGCTACTTGAAAGTGCGCTCCGGGTGCTATTTTGCTTTATATAATTAGGGTATGCATCCCAAGTATTAGGTCTCTATATTTTGTGACAAACTATATGAGATAAGGGCATCTCTTAATTGTTGAATATATTGTTTCCTTCGTATCATCACCAAACTATATGGTGTGTGTATATTAAAAAACAAAAACAACTACTACAATAACAATAATAACAAAGAATTGATAGCCAATTGTCCACCACTTTTCTTTACACAACAGATGCATGTAGTAATACGCTACAATAGTCGATTTTTTAAAAAGTTGTCAATATACGACCAATTGCAATGGCCGCAAATTGACAACTTTATGGCTATATAAGATAGAGATATGAGGTGGAGTCGAGTATCCATTGTCTCTGTATTGTGACAAACTATATGAGATTAGGGCATCCTTAACTGTTGAAGATATTATATTGTTTTATCCATATCATCACTAAATTATATTGTGTGTGTGTGTGTGTGTGTGTGTGTATATATATTTAAAGAATAACCCAAAAAAAAAAACTTTTTTTTAAGTGACGAACAATTGTCCACCATTTTTCTCTATGCTTATTGGATGTGTGTAGCAACATGCACGCTACAATAGTCCATTTTTTAAAAGCTGTCAATATGCGGTCAATTGTAATGGTCACAAATTGATAACGTTATGGCCATACATGATAGAGATATGAGGTGGAGCTAAGTATTCATTAATAGAGATGTTCTTATACTATTAAATTTACAAAGACGAGTAAATCTATAGTTTAAGCATGGCAAAAATTCACGGGATAAAAATATCAATTTGCCTCTAACATTATGTCCTGACAATTTTGTCTTTATCAATATTTCGCTAGACCTATTGAATTTCATTTAAATTTTGCCTCTAAAAAATTGTTAGCTATATTTCATTTTTTACTCAATTTGGACAAATTAATTACTAACTATCCAATTGTACAATATGAAGAAAAACTTCAACTATATACTTTAATCATTCCATTGAAAAGATATCATTTAGATCCTTTTTTTTTTTTTTAATTCGACATATACAGATCAACTACTAAAAGTTATCATTTGTGATGGTTTTGTTGAGACCGGGTATATAAAGCGGCAATTTATATCCTGCACCACGACGCGCGTTGCATTGTGCGTCCAGATGTAAAACGACGTCGTTTCAGATTTTTTTTTTTTTTTTTTTTTTTGAAATTTCGCTACCCAGTGTTTGGCGGTTAATTTTCCTTTAAAAAAAATCCCATGTTCAAAAATGTACATAATGTTATACATGAATGTACATAATTGTATACATAAATGTACATAATTGTATAACAAAATATACATACTGTTTTTTAAAGGATAATACACATAATCTAACATAATACATAATAAACATAAACTTTTAACATAATACACATCAACTCTTAACATAATACACAAAAATTTCTTGATTCGGATGTACATAATTGTATAAAAAAATGTACATAATTGTATAAAAAATGTACATAATAAAAAATGAGTTAATACCCAAAATCGTCCTCGACTATAGTGGTTTTTCTCAATTTCGTCCTAAACGACTTTAGTGACCTAATATCGTCCCAGACTTTTGTGTTTCGCTCAATTTAGTCCTCCATTTGTTATTCCGTCAAATTGGTGTTAAATAAAGAGACAATTCAGTAATGTCAATATTGATCTCTCTTTACTTTCAACTTGTGAAGTGCGAAATTTCTCTTTCTTGTACGAATTACACCCAGAATTACTCCTGGACCTACAAATCAAATTTTATATTCGCAGTTTTAGGAGTAATTCTGGGAGTAATTCGTAAAAAAAAAAGGGATTTCGCAGTTCACATGTCTATGAGTAAAGAGATATCAATATTAAAATTACTGAATTGTCTATTTATTTAACACCAAATGGACAGAATAACAAATGATGGACTAAATTGAGCAAAAACACAAAAGTCTGGGACTAAATTGAGTGAAACACAAAAGTCTAGGACGATATTAGGTCACCAAAGTCGTTTAGGACGAAATTGAGAAAAACCACTATAGTCGAGGACGATTTTGGGTATTAACTCAATAAAAAATATACATAATTGTATGAACAAATATACATAATCACGGCAACTTCCTACCGCGCCTCCCAAAATGATGTCGTTTTGGGAGATGCGCGGCGCACAATGCTACGCGCGCCGTGGTGTAGGGTATATCGATTGATATAAAGCAATGCTACACATCAGGGCACTGGGCCCACAGAAAGCTATCGGCCCGTAGGAACAATGCAAACCCACAACCCAATATTATCGACTAGAGACAACACTACTGAGAATCAAACGTCAGGCCTAGGGGCGAATAGCAAAACTTAGACCAACTAACTAGAAAGGCGCAAATTATGCCATGGAATCGTGTTCACCGAGAATGGTGAACACAAGGTAAAACGATGTCGTTTTTAGGCCAAAAAAAAAAAAATTCGCGGATGTGGAGTTAACGGCGCGCGTTTGATCAAATTATGAATTTTCTGTTATGAGATTATGAATTTTATGAAAATTCATAATCTCATAACAGAAAATTCATAATCTTATAACAGAAAATTCATAATCTCATGGTTCCAAAGTGAATGTGTAGGCATGGTTCCAAAGTGAATGTGCAGGCATGGATTCATAATTTATGAATGTCCGTGATTTCGGACAGGAATGTGTAGGCATGGTTCCAAAGTGAATGTGCAGGCATGAATTCATAATTTATGAATGTCCGAAATTATGAATGTAATGAAAATTCATAATCGTATAACAGAAAATTCATAATCGTATAACAGAAAATTCATAATCTCATAACAGAAAATTCATAATCTTATAACAGAAAATTCATAATCTCATGGTTCCAAAGTGAATGTGTAGGCATGGTTCCAAAGTGAATGTGCAGGCATGGATTCATAATTTATGAATGTCCGTGATTTCGGACGGGAATGTGTAGGCATGGTTCCAAAGTGAATGTGCAGGCATGAATTCATAATTTATGAATGTTCGAAATCTTTGTTCACCTCAAATTAAAGTGAAATCACAAAATGTGAAAATAAAGAAGAAAAATCACGCAATTAATTAAGAAAAAAAAAAAAAAAAGATAACGGTGTACTAACACCGTTGGAACCGTGTTCACCATGAATGGTGAACACGATTCCATGGCATAACGTCCCCTAGAAAGGTCTTTATGTTTAAAATGTCGTGTCCTAAGCTAACCATTCCCTCTCCTTTTTATACTGCCTCAAGCCTCACATGCACAACATCTATTCAAACAAAGGGAATATGGTTTTTTTTTTTTTTTTTTTTTTAAAAGGGAATAAAGAATGGAAAGTAATAGACAATCTTGTGTTTGTAAATTATATTATATTGTCTACAATTGATCTCCTCAATAGTTTTCAATTATTATATTATACATCAAAATTTTTGAAGTTGAATGGTTACGTGCTACGTGCCTACATATTGGTATAGTAATGCACACATTAAGTATGGTCCATAGAAATTATAAATTAAAGTTTTGTTAAATAAACACGTACCAAAAAACTCAACAACATTCATAGTTATACAATATTATAAAAATTAAAACGTACTAAATCTATTATTACTGTAATTTTCACCACAATAATTTCTTTCTTCCACTGTTGTAAATGGACGTGGTCCAGATACTAGTACAGTAGTACTAGTACAAGAATAAGTCCTACTTGGCTACTTATATAGTCCTAGTTCTAGGTAACATAAAAGGTTATTATTATTTTATTTTTTTGAAACTAAAAGGTTATTTTATTTTATTTTTTATAACACAAGTTGCTCAGTTTCGGTAGACTATATTTTAAACCCCATAAATTCGCCCACAAACCTATGAGGAAGTAATTGAGTCAATCCCTCATACCCAAACCACCAATAGTTATTGATAGGAATCATCTGCTTAGAGTATAATTTTATTGTTAGTTTTGGTAAATAGTATTCATGCCATTTAACAAAAAGATTTTTCTATAATAATGACAGTAACACATATGTACAGTTTAAAAAAAAAAACATATATGTAAGTGTATTTAGTATTATTGTGTAGTGTAACTAGTACAATAATATTGGGTAATACTCGATATTGTTAACATTGTTGTTGTATGGCACTATAATTTTGTAAAAAAAAAAATTAAAATTAAATGATACAAATGCATAAATTACATAAAAAAAATAAAATAAAAAATAAAATAAAAAAACCTTAGCTCACAACCCCTGTCAAATCCGCTAACAGGAGATCTTTAATATCATATGGAGGGTCAACAAAGTGTTGGAGCTCACATTATATGTTATGAAAGTTTGGCAAAATCCAATCACCACGCATATTAATTAGTCTCTGTATGAATATACTTGATGGAGCATGACCATTCTCTTCATAATGCAATGTAACATTATTTTCACGGGATAAACTCCGTTCATGTGTAATATCTCGCAAATTATATATAAGCAGTAAATCGTACTAAAAAGACCTGTACAATGAGTTTAAACAATAAAATATTAATAATA